GAATAAAGAAAGATTACTATGATCCATCTCTATCACTTCAAGAGCAAATAAAGTCTAAGCCTAAGAGAGTTCATCCGGATCAATGGATGAACCTTATCAATAATTGGAACAAAGAAGATGCTAAGGTATATTATTTCAAAACAAACTGAAAGTGTCAATACTTTGCTTTGAGTACTGTTGTTTTTGTTGTTTTCTACTTCTCTCTGGTTCTTTCATTAATGATAAAATCTCTGTAGGGTTTTTGGTCAATACTCTGTGCTGGATCATCTATAAACATCAATCTTCTCTAGACCCATTCACTTGTTGAGGGACTGTTTGCTGGCTGTTTTTGTGTGGTAAATCCAATTGAGTTTTAATTATGTAGAATTTATATATAATATAATGTGGGACCTGTCTGTGCCTTTCACATGAGTATTGATTGTTACCACAATAATAACGAAAATAATCAAGAAACCCTTGACCAGAAAACTTAATTCAGGAATACAAATAAAATATGTTATGAAGAAATGGTTACCAGTAGTATGTTGAGTTGTTTGTTAGGTTGGGGTTTGAGTGGTTGGTTCTCTAACATTTGGATTCTTCGCGACTGTATTTGTGTTTGGACTCTGACCAACAGCTGCATCTGCTTCATGGCATTGACTGTCTGTCTCTTGACATGCTGACCTCTAACTACACCTTGAAGCCTCAGAATACCAGTTGTCAAAGGTTTAGAGTAGAAGCTCCTACGTGCCTGCATTTTACTTAATTGTATGAGAGAGTAATGGAATGATGAGTTTTGTGTATATATATATATATATATATATATGTATATATATCACCATGTAGCCTCTAAAGGCAGCCTGGATCCTGGTAGCTGAAAGGTGTTGTAGAGGTGGTTCTGTAATCTCATGATGAACAAGTGTAAGAGAAGTGATTGTTGGAGTAGATGAAGGTGGTTGTGATTGTTGGAGTAGGTGAAGGTTGTGTTGTTGGTCAATTTCCCCCAAGATTTTCTCAATACTGCTTGGCTCTCTGAAACGGGGAAAAAACGATCCATGTTTGAACCTGGCCTTGTTTTCTTTAGGTTCCTGCAACAACAAGAGCAGTAGTATGAAATTCAAATTCAGACCAAATACTTGCTTGTTAAACATGGAATTACTTACGTTATTGAGTTTGGAGTTGGATGTAAAAAGTCTCTTGATTGCAGAAAACCAAGTCCCTTTTTTCCTTGTTGAGGGACTGTTTGCTGGCTGTTTTTGTGTGGTAAATCCTATAAAATGTCATTTTATAATTTATCCACTTCTAGTTTATAGCCTTATATGTCATTTTCAGAAAATCAGTGAAAGAAATAAGACTAGTAAGGGATATAAGAAGATGATGCAAATTACAGGGAAAAAAAGTTATGCTCGAGTTCGTGAAGAACTAAAGGTAATGTAGTTGATGTAATATGCATATGTATTTACCTAAATATATATCTGGGTTGTTACAGGAATCTTTGTCGGGACGTGAACCTAGTTGAATGGAGTTGTTTGTTGCGTGTTTTTCTAAAGACGGCATTGCCAAAAATGTCGAAGCTGCAAATGCTATTGTATGTTATATTTATAATTTGTCGATTACATATGCAAATTTTACTTGAACTATAGACTAGTTTTCACAAGTTTTATTATATATTTGTTAGTGATAATTTATTTGACTATAGGAACAAATGCTAGACCTTAACTTTCAACTTCCCGAAGGCTCACTTGATGAGCCAGGGCCTAATGATGTATTCTCGAAAGTGATGGGAAAAGACAAACATGGCAGTGCTCGGATGTATGGGCTAGGTGTTAGAGGTTCAGATATATGGGGTGTCTTGCCAAGTCGCTCTGCCTGTTATAGGGAGAACATGTTGTGGAAAAGAGCATATAAAGATGTTCGCAATGAAGTAGCTGAGCTGAAAGCTATGGTATTAGAGATGCGAGGGTCAAATGTAGTACTTCAAGTGTTCCCATGACATCAATGAATCGTCAAGCTACCACCGAACTTCAACCTCTAAAGGTACGTGTCTTGCTAAAACTTAATAAAACCAAGTGTACTTCAAGTGTTCCCGTGCTTTTTTTTTAATAAAATCTTAGAATCTGAGAATCTTGTTTTTCAATCATGTTTTTGTAGGTTGGGGATGTTGTTCATCTTAAGAGCATCATAAATTCCATGGAAATTATGGCAAGAGGACGTGTTAAGAGCTTAGATCCAGATGAATTGGCTGGTGGCGAGGAGATTGGTCCGAATTGGTGTGAGGTACATGTTTTGGTTGCTATAAGAAGGAGGGAACATTTGGTTAGGCCATATGGATTGTTTATTACAATTGAAGACGCTATTGGAGCAACAATCGCATGGCCTTGTCCTTTCACTGTGGTATGTTAGTCTTTGATAAAGTGTAGAATTTTTTTTTATTATATAACTTTAAGCTCATATATCTGTTTTTTAATTGTAGGTTGTGCATGACGGAGATTGATATCTCTAGGGCACAATAAGATTTTGTATTTGCGTTATTTTTTTTCGTTACATAGCTTGGTAGTTGATACTTGATACTCATATAAATACTTGTACAATTTCGAATTTTGTTCTATCGAATCACTCTCGTATATGCTTCTAAATGTAATATTACAGTAGGATTTTATAATTGGATGATGCGTCTCGCATTATAGTCATTTAGGACGCTTGTAGTATTAATTATTATAGCCTATTAGGACATTTTTTTAGTATTACTTAGTTCATTTTATAGGACACTAAAATTTGCTTCATAAAAACATTTTTTGGGACATTGAATTTCGTCCTATAAAAACATTTTTTGGGACGCCCATATTTGTTTCTAAATGTAAACATTTTGTGACAACATAAAGTGTCCTATATTATAGTCTATTAGGACACTTTTTAGTGTTACTTAAACCATTTTATAGGACTATGGGTTTTGTATCATAATCCTAGAGTTTTTTAGGACACTCAAATTCATCTTATTAACCTAATACAACACCTTTAGATGAGACACACACATTTTTTGTCCTATAAACTTAAAAGTCCTATTAACTACCTTATTAGGACACTAATGAGTGTCCTATAAAGCCTTTTTTGTTGTAGTGTTAAGAGATTAAAATCATCCTCATTCTCTGCAATGACGTGCTATTAGGTACCTTACATGTGTTTGTCAGTTGATAGTGCCTTAAATTAATTAAGTGACTTGTTATTACCTTCTAAAACTGGTTGATAGGAGCACTAAATCCAAATTGGGTTCCCATCACTAATTGTTCGATGTGGTTTCAAACACATGTTTGTGGTAGTTGATCTAATCAAGTCTCTCGGCAGAGGCTTGGTGAGCGGTTTGGTTGACGGATTAGCCAAGTTCCCACATTGTCTGACCAAATATAATACTAATGGTGCCATTATCAATTAATTGTCTCGCGTAATTATGTCGGAGGCCTATATGTCATGACTTCTAACTTTACACTACATTGTAAATTTTTGACAGTGTGGCTTCACTGTTACATTACATATGAACCCGAAGGAGTTAAATGAGGCCATAGATGGATATTTGTCAATAGATATCTAATCCATTCAACATATTTGCCTGTTGCAGCTAGGGCAATAAATTTGGTTTCCATGGTCAAGTGTGTTATACACATTTGTTTCTTGATAACCTAAGAAATCGTCCTACAAACTAAATTGTAATAATGGCCAGTAGGGTCGATTCCACAAGGATTGGATGTGAATAGTGTCAAACTTCTATGTATTATGTAAAAGGGTTGATTGAGATACTAAACTAAACATATTAAATTGAAGTGGAAAACGAACAATTATAAACTAGTAGTGAATGTGCATCATTGACTGGATCGTGTATAATAGACTTGTTCATAGAATGATTTTTCTCATTTTATTCAGAATGACAATGAACATTGATATAAACCGACACTTTATGTGTGTGTAAGATTAAACTAGCATGAGACGCTTAACAAACTAGTTCCTAATCAGCTAACTAAGTCTAGTTACAAACATAGATTCAACCGCCAATTGCATTAGGGACAAACGCCACTCCTAGTCAATGATCGGACACCGACCATTTAGACTGAACTCACAACACTAAAATTAATCGGACGCCCAAACAATTGAATTATTGATTGCTACTAAAATGAAATTGAGAACAATTACAAATTCACAACTCTATCTAACAATTCACAATTAGGCTACACGATTCATGGATACGAACTTAAATAAATAGCCCAACAATGATAACCGATTAAATCAAGGTTTGTGTCACTTGTTGATTATAAACTTCGTTCAAGAAGGCACCAGGATTTTAACAGGCCAGCCCTCGAATGATATGAAAAGGATCAACAAGTCTCAACACAATCACAATCAAATGTATTGCTCGATTGAGAAAAATTAACTAAGAAAGCACACATTAAACCTACAAACTAAAAATATCTAAAGGATTTGAAGAAAATACCAACAAAATCTTCCCTAAAATCACCCCCTCCTTCTCTATGGTTGCTCTCCAAATTCTATCAATTGATCCCCCTTCAACAACAATTAATTATAAAAACTCCCTTTTAAATCACCCCCCACAAGAACCACTCAAAAGAAAAACCTAAAAACTCACAATTGGGGTCGCCGGCGACTTGGGCCGCTGCTAAAACAGCTGCAAAACTCGCCCCGATAGTTTTGGAATCAAATACAGTAGCGAAGATGGGTTAGGAACAGGTTCACTCGCCGGAAAAGTAGCATCGTGGAATTTTTGGGTTGGGTTGCGTCTTCCTCGCGGCAACAAAGAAAACCAAAAACAAATAAAAACCGTACTTTTAAAAAGAGGTCGTGTATTCTATTTAACAACATTTGATTTTGTATGCGCAGCCTGTGTCCTATACAAGAAATATGTCCATATCATATTTTAATAGTTATGCATTGAATGAATAAGCATTTGAGAAATATGCCCAGTCGTGTAATTCTTCGAGATATAAGTTTTGTTTGTATCTTTTATCCACCAATCTTGCCTTAAAGGTAGATCTTGATCTGTCTTCATGTAGTTTTCATTTGAAAACCTATTGGAACCTATTTGTTTCACTCCCATGGGTAACTCTACCAATTCCCAGGTGCATTTCCTATAATAGAATCCATTTAATCATTTATTGCTTTCTTCCATAGTGGAATATCTCTTGACGAGATGGCCTATTTATAAGTCTTTGAATCATCTTTGCTGTTAATTGAGAAAATAACGTCTCTATTCAATTTCTTTTGTGTCCCTTCGACCAATTGTGAGAAGAAATCATCTCCTAGGTTTTTCTCTTTTCTAACTCTTGTATTTCTACGTAGTTCTTCAACCTTATCTGAGTTTTTCGAATTATCGTGAGATGTACCTGAAAAATCAGGATACAAGATTGGTATAGTTTTGGGGGACACCAATGACTTGGGCCATGACTAAACCCGCTGGAAAGTCACTCGGATGGTTTTGGAGCCAAACACAGTTCCGAACGCAGGTTGGGGTGGATTCACTGTAAGAAAAAGTCGCATCGTGGAATTTTTGGTCCTGGGTTGTGTCTTCTTATCTCTAACGGCTACAAACAAAAACATATAAAAAGCCTCACATTGAAAAGAGAGCGTGGATCTTTAACATTTGATTTTGTATGCTCAATTTATGTCTTATATGAGAAATATGCCTATATCATATTTTAATAGCTATGCATTGAATGAATAAACATTTGAGAAATATGCCCAACCTTGTTATTCTTTGAGATATTATGTTTTGTTTGTACTTAAATCCATCCTTTTTTGCACCTATTAACGATCAATCAATAACCAAGATTAGGGGGTCTATTAGCTATTAAATCATGATGAAATGCAAAGAATTCGATATAAAAATAAGATCAAATATGTGTTTATCATATTTGCATATATGCAGCAATCAGCGCCATTATGTATAAACCCAAAACAAGTGATAGTTTTATCAAATTTTTCATGCACTATTTAAAAGCTTGTTTTAGCCCGTACGGAGATTTAACAAGTGTACATATTTTGTGTCGATATCTTTATCCACCAATCTTGCCTTAAAGGCAGATATTGATCTGTCTTCGTGTAGTTTTCATTTGAAGACCTATTGGTTCCACTCCCATGGGTAACTCTACCAATTCCTAGGTTCATTTCCTACAATATGGTCAATTTCATCATTTATTGCTTTCTTCCAAAGTGGAGCATCTCTTGACGACATGACATATTTACAAGTCTTTGAATCATCTTTGATGTTAATTGAGGAAATGATGTCTCTCGTCACTTTCTTTTGTGTCCCTTCAACCAAGTGTGAGAACAAAACATCTCCTGGATTTTTCTCTTTTCTAACTCATGTACTTCTACGTGCACGGATATAATCATGTCATTAAATATTTTATACGACTACTCTTTGAAAATGTGAGTATTAAAGTTGTAAAGCCCTAGGATTTGATGCAGTCAAAATTCAATTGCCAGCAGCAAGGGCAATAGAATTGATGCAAACCAGATGCAGAATTCAACAAAATAATGCTATATTGAAAACAGTTGCAACGATATAGAGAGAAAGAGAGCATGTCTCGATTTCTAGATGTGTTTAGCCAGGAGGTTGAATGTTGTATTTATACTGGGAACGTGATCAGATAACCACCTGATCACGTCCCAAAAATCTCTCCATTTCTCCATAAGTTTCACATTTTAGAGATAGAGTTGGAGACCAAGTGTCCATCTAATTTTAGAGGGAAAAAACGTGATAATATCCTTCAATGAAAAATAAGCTCAATGTTAACTGTTGATTAAATAATCATTTTAATTAATCAGTAATTATCAACTTCGATATGCCGTGCAAAGTGAGCCTCCTCACGCCACCCCCGATCTGTGTCCTTGGCCACGGGCTTACACGTGTGTGCATGTGCGTTGCACTTCTTATAGAACCCCCACTATAAATCAAACAACTCATTCAAGGCCCACTTAAATTAAGAGCTTATAAGCCTACTTATTTTTTGCATTTCTACCAATCGTGAGTTCTAGAATCATCTCTGCGAATACAAGAAAAAACCACATAATACATATAATACTCAAATAGTAAACTGTTCTATGCCATAAAAAATGGAAAAAAGGACAAAATGAAAATTTTGATGCGTATTTTTGTCTCTGACATAAAATAAAACAAACCCAGTAAATCCCACCCACAAGGCAACTCAAAATTAAAAACCGAAAAGTGTGGTATTTAGAAACTAACTAAAAATTTAAGGTTGATGAGACCTTGACAAACTCCTCTCGAATCCCCCACAGATTTTGTCTTTGCACTGTGGACACATGAATCCAGTTGCATCCGCCATAGTTTCGGCATCAACCGGCTCACAAAGGAACCCTTTGTTGCACCATGTACAATTGGTCTTGAACCTCCCGTTGATGACGCCAACTGATTCTTGTGTTTCGCCTATCTTCCGTGAACTTGGAGATCCTTCCCCATTCTGCTGGGCATAGGGTTTATCTAAGTTTGGCTCATCAATATCCATAGCTGCATGCTGCTGATCGATCCATTCATGCCAACAAACAAATTTCGGTATCAGTGGGCAGAAATTTCCAAGAAATTGTGGAAAAAGTGGTATATTTCTAAGATGAGAACTCTATGATAGAAGTGGAATCTGTGTTGGTTATTTAAGGAAGGAGGGCTGTTATATAGCAGTGGCTTTATAGGATTTCCATGAATCGAGCTCAAGTGCATCTTAGTAATAATAACAAAGTTTTATTACCTTTCCTGAAGCACGGTGCCCTGCGCCTTCAGTTGTCGGGAGATCGAATCTTCTTGTGGTTTTCTTGTGAACACTAGCCAGGTGCTTCTCCAGCCCTTGGATGTCTTCAAATGCTATTCCACAAGAAGAGCAGTCGATAAGGCTGGCAACTTTAACATCAAACAAGTTATCCGTTGAAGGCAAGTTAACATTTCCCTCAGGAACAGATGAACTGCCAACTTCATTCACCTGCTTACATTCAAATAAAATACAATTATTTTCACAAACTTTGCCGACAGCAATTGCGATCATCATGCTTTTTACTTACAGATTTGGGAACTTTATGGCAAGCATCCTCCATCTGCTTCATCTCCTCAGACGCCTTTTCTTCAGCAACATTTGACAAGGAGTGATCTCTTAGATAGAATGCAGCTTCCTTGCATGATTTAAAATGTATGCCTGAGGTGCTGAAGATATCAATGAAACATAATTCATTAGGCACACCATAGAAGAGATAATATAAACATTAAAATTAGCTGACACATAAATTAGCAAACTACAATTGAACAGAATAGGCAGTTTGCTTGTTTGTCTATTACTCATTGTAACTCAAGCATGAAGCATGCTAGGACTAAACTATTAGGAACAACTTGTATATCATTGATATATGGTGGATTGATCCTATATGGATATTAGTAACAGATACTCTTGCTTAATAGTATAGAAATGCCCATGTTCCTGTTTCAAGGAGGCTAATACAGGATCCCATCCACCAAGCAAATAGCATCTCTTTGATGCTGTAAGTTCTATGCCACAACTTCTTTCTGAATCTTATTATGATATGTAATAAAGTTTATGCCAATTAAGCTTTAGACCAAGTCCTCATGTAAGTAATCTATCTAGTATGATAATGAGGGGCATTCTTTTCTAATCATACCTGAAGCGGAATCGAGAATATGGAAAACCCAATAGCATTAGCATAGAAGATATTGATTTTCATATGGATTCTATAGGATTTACATGTGATGGTGTGGACTGGTGCATGCCCTTGCCCTACTGACCAACTATGAAGCGATCACCACGGGAATTTTTTCGAAGCGTCACAAACATGTAAAAGGCAAAAGTACGTTAAGTGCATGGTGGTGCTAGCAGAAGTAATTAATATTCAGCTATTCTAATTGCCTCGAGGTAATTAATATTCAGCTAGCAGAAGTAATTAATATTCACCTATTCTAATTGGATCAAAGGGAAATGAATCATAATGAAACAGAACGTCCAATGATCAACTACAGAAATGTTTAACTAGCTAAGGAACTACTTTACCCTAGGAATGGAATGGAACAGAAAGGAGGAGTTTGCATGCATACCTTAAAGGCACCAAGACCCTGTCTTCTGTCACAACCGAAATGTTGATCCACTCGAATCGAAGGCTTGTTCAAGCTTTTTCTTCTTTGATCTTTCCATTGGCAGAAACTCGGTCTCTTGACAGAAGTCCAAATTTTCCAGCTATAATTTTCGAGACTCAAGCTCCATTAGAGTAGCATAAAAACGTGATTGAAAGTCACTAACTCTCAAGAATTTTACAAGTATCCCAACAAAATAGTGTAACACTTGTTTTACAAAGAAAAAAGTGAAGAAAGAAATACCAATGCGACCAATTTTCATGCCAGACCGAGCAAGAGCTCTTAAAGCAGACTGGGCTCCTGGACCAGGAGTCTTGGTCTTGTTACCTCCTGTAGCCCGCAACTTTATGTGAAGAGCATTAATCCCATGCTCCTGCGCATGCCAATCAAACCAAAAACATCAAACCAACATAACAAAGAAACAAGAATCCCTAAATAATAATAGAAATCTTTCGAATATATATTATATATGTATGTATATGTATGTAAAAATGGGAACAAAACCTTGCATCTCTGAGAAACATCTTTGTATTGATATAAATAATAATAGAAATTACACATATGAMTTATTAATATAAAGGTAATAACTAAAAGGACTAATAACAGGATGGAATTTGTATGAGAATTATTAATGCCACGAACCAGGCTGCCTACAACCCCACCAACACCATCTTCGGTYAGTTCATTACTTCTTCTTCTTTGCATATGTAATCTCATGAYTATCAATTGTATACAAATGCCAGATTACACACYTGTCAGTAATCTCATGATTATCAATTGCGTCTTTGATTATCGAAGCCGTACCCATCTTTAAAAAGCGTATACGGAGAGAGCAAGAGATGTTTAAGAGCTACACACACAAACACACAAAATGAACAAATGTAAGAAGTACAAACTGATAAACATGTACTACCAAAAGAGTCATCCCATTGCCCTTCCCACTACTGGAGTGTTAYTGAATAATATATGCCATCATTCACTTTTGTGCTCATTGTWMTCTATGATGCCTTATGCACTAGAAGTGATTATCTATTARGTATAGTTGAAGCTTGATGCAAGTGTCAATCTTTCTCTATCTACCAATAATGATAAGCATGATYTGTGTGTRTACAAGTCATGAGAAAACRATGTAATGYCCATGTAATTTGCATCGATACCAACAGTAATTCATCAAGATAACAGAATATGCCACCACATATAGCAAACTAATGAGAGGTAATATATGTGTAGTGGGGTGAATATTACTGTCACCAAGAACACTTCGAACACTGTCGAGTTTAGGAGCTTGAAGGAGATGACCAAATTTGAAAATGGTGGGAATGAATAAGAAACAGTCAAGTGAATCAACGGTACTATTGTTTTTTTGTTGCATCTCTTGAAATGCCAAGCTTGTATGCTGTGTGTTGAATCCAGTGAGGAGCATTGAAGGTCCAGCTACTGCCCCTGCTAATAAAGCCCTCCATCTTGCTGTTCTGAAGTATTTGCACATTGAAAGTCATATATAAGCAAAATGACATGAAAGCTAAGCTGACCTACTTAGGTTTTGCAACCTGGTTTGGGTGTTGCTCCTAAAAAATCTAGCAGATATGAAACTTGTACTATATTCAAAGACAATGTATATAACATATATTGAACAAGTTTGTACCAGATACCCTTGTAATTGACTACGAAAGACCACAAGTAGACCACACAGTTTTGGTATTTACAATATACATCATATATGATTCAACATATTCAATAGTAATGACACACATATGTATTTTGCTTTACACTATACAATCACACATGATGCAAAATTACTCAACTGCAAACCAATAACCTAGTATATTAATCCAGAATGTATGAAAATATGATTTCAAATATTCAAACAACTTTGTTCAAAATAGTTTGTTGAATCACATATGACTTTATACATCAAAAATATAAAACCAATAACCTACAATATTAATCAGACTTTATGAAGATTCATAGCAATATGAAAATAACATCATATAAATTTATCATGTCCTTAATCAAACATGATCTTTAATCATATAAGTAAAGTATGGTAGATAATTTCAAAATAGCCCTAACCTCACAAGCCACAAGATGCGAGAGCGAGAGGCCGAGAGCCGATCGATAGTCGAGACCCGAGAGAGGCAGAGAGCGAGAGCGAGAGCCGATTGAGTCAAGGCCGATTGCGATTTCGATTTGTGAATCGTGAATTGGTTTCCGTTGGTGAATTCGTCCGTGAGCGAGGCGAGAGGCGAGAGGCGAGGGAGGACGAATTGAGTGAAAGCCGATTTGTGGACTGGTAACATAATTTTTAGGCCCAAGTCAAATTGAACCTATGGATAAGGTAGGTTAATAAAATGGGCTGATTAAGTATAAGAGATAGGGATGTCTTTTGATATTTGGGCCTGTTAAAAATACTTCTAAATACAATATGTTATTTATATCATTTTAAACTTTAATAGGATATTTAAAAGTGTCCTATTAGCTTTTAAACACTAATACAACAATCAAAATTATCTTATTAACTTTTAAAATTAACATGACACTTAAAAATGTCTTAATAATTTCTAAAATAATATGACACTTTAAAATGTCCTATTAGTCTTTAAAATAATACGACACTTAAAAGTGTCCTATTAGACCATAAAATAATATGACATTCAAAAGTGTCGTATTAGATTACATGATAGGACGTCAAGATATGTTAATAAGACATCAAAATTAAGAGTCATATAAGATTAAATCAAATAGGACTCATAAAATAATGTGTCGTATTAACCTTTTTAAAGGACGGTTTTCGAAAATTGTCCAAAAAAAGTGTCCTATAAACCTCTTTTTGTTGTAGTGCTCGCACCAAAATCCTTTCAAGGAGCAAGTCCACACGTATATTTCAGTCATGCCATTCCTTAGTATGTCTAACCAGGTCATTTTCAGCCTAAATCTACTTCTCATAATTCCCTACTGCTAGCACAGATCACCTTGTTCTTGCTAGTATAGGCAACAGTCTACTTTAAATACCAGCAAACCATTTCAAATGATGTGTCCCTCTAGTCCAACATGATTGTTTGCCCCTGTCCCTGACCTTATCCTAAATACCCTTATTTGTAAGCTTCATATAAGATAAATATATGCTTATCTGTTAAAAAAATCAATGGCAAGTCCCCACAATACCTCAAAGTTTCCCCTTTGGGAACGACACAAACTATCTATATTCTATCTATAAAATTTATAAAACCTAGTTAAGGGCTATTCTTTAACCATGATCGTTATGTAATTATGTTATATGAATCTGGACAAAAAATGGAGTCTTCTTAAGACCACCCTAAGCCAGTTTTCAAGACAACCCCCAGTAACAAACGCTCTCTGAAATTTATTTTAGCAAGGACTGACTATAACTTGACACCCATAGAAGATCTTCAGCCTATTTTCTACTCAAGCATTTCCACATGACATAGATGGAAGGCAAGTTATTTATTGCACGGATGCTCTATTAAAGTTCTCACTAGCATGTGTAGGTGGTGTTGCTAATAATGATCAAGATGCCAATTGAAATCTTTGTACATATAGACCTGGAATATAAAGCTCGTGTATAACCATTTATGGGCTTGGAGATTTACAACAAACCCTTAATAAAGTTCTCACTACCAATGTGTCAGCGGTTGCTAATTACGATCAATAAACTAATTAAAACCCTTGTACCTTCAGAATAGGAATATAGAGCTCGTGCATAAGCATTTATGGCCTTGGAGATTTACATCAAGCAGATAACAGGGTCAGATAAGTTAAAAAGCAAAGGATGCTCTAGTATAAAGCATGGTTCAATATAGAACAGTGATAGATTGTAGATGTTTAGTATTATACTTTTATTACCGTAACGTCATGTTATTGGCATTCAGCTTCTTAGAGTCTAAGTATAAACCAAAGTAAGCTTTATGCGAAAACGTCATATGGCATGTGACTTAGTGCAAAAGGCAGAAAATGTCATGAAAGTTTATGGAACATTGATAACAGAACAGCTGCCCTAGATTTCTTTTCACGATGTGAACAAACCAGGAATCAACATGTGCAGCTTAATTACAACTGTGAAGAGTTCCTTTAGAAGCAATTAATCGAACTTTTTACCAAAAACTATCTCAAAATTTCGTTCCTATGCACAGAAATGAAACTTATAGATAAACCGCTAACCACAATCATATAGCTCACACGAACACAAAAGATTTATGATTCTATGTAACCTAACTTGACTTCAAAGTCAAAATCAAGGTCGTATCATCTAGGAATCTATGAGTTACAGAAACAGTAAAAACTCGAAAACAGCTGCCAATTTCTGATTCAGTGATCAAAACGCATACATCAATTCAACACAAACACAATTAAAACCTAGAAATAATCCATCTCATTTTTAAACCAAACTCAAAACTTTCATAAATCGACCCAAAATTTTCGATCAAAAGAGAATGCAATAAGGGGGGAAAGTGATGATCACAACCTGACATAACGCCGGCAGTAGAAGGAGGGAATTCCACCACTTTTGCGTAAAGCGAGCTCGATTTTCCAGTTCACCGGCAAAGCATTCACGAATTCATCAGTGTCCACCACCCTCCTCCTCCGCTCACCGCGGCCGACCCACTCTCCTTCTAAACTTTCCATAAACCCTACCAATTTTGCCCTCGACATACCACTGCTCATACTCGCCAATTCCCCCTCATAAGCGCTATCCCCTACACGCGCCAGAAAATTTTAGTCGATCTTCTGTCCGTTAATATAAATTACATTTAGCCCCTCCAACTCTTCCTCATTTTCATCAACCCCCTGGATTTTCTATTTGTCTTCTTGCTTTGACATTGGTCCTCATGGTTGACCATCACTATCTCTCTACTACAATCATCTTTTTCTTCACACTCAAAAACCGACTCCTCATCGGTGGGTTTTGCATCATCGTCATTTTTGTTTTTAGGAACGTGAGCACGAATAAGGCTGGTGCGGGAATGACGAGGGATAGAGGGTGTTGTTAGAGCTTCTAGGAGATTAGGTTAGGTGATTGAGTTGGTGGAAGTTTCAGTGGAGTTAACTTCTGTGATAACAATGTTATTGGAGTTATGGACGTTAGAAGCAGTGCATTGGAGCGAGGCAGAATACCAGTATACTGAATCTGACATGCTACCTGTTTCTACGTTTAGAGATGAAGACTTTAACTCTGGTGTGGGTCCATTACAATCATTATCTTCACTGCCAGATGTTAATGGTGAAGGGTTGATTTCAGCTTCCACAATGCGAGCCACCAAATCTGCTTCCATGCTGCCAAATTGTGGTTGCAGGTCGCTACCATCGACAACAAATGGTGTCTTAGAGGAGTTTGAAATGGATTTGCACTCGCCGATGTCAGAGTTTTCGATAGAATGAGAAACGGGATGGTGAGAGTGACTGTGGTAGATTAACATTTGAGTTTGAATTGTGGTGTTTCCAAGGTTAGGGACGCCACTAGATCCTGATTCTAGTTGGGTGGTTTTTGACTTCATGTCCCACATTCTAGTTTTTGCTATGGATGTGGGTGACACAACGACTCTTTAGAGAGAGATTAAATGAAAGAGATGGTGTGTCTGAGTAGTAAGGCAAAGGTGGTTCTTATAGGGTTTTCGAGAATGGAGGAGACACGTATGACTTACATGTGTGTTAATCGGTAAGAAGCATCAGAAATTAAATTAAATAATAATAATTATTACATCGGTAATGGTGATAAAATGTTATTAGAGAATTTTTCATTATTTCTCTAAAATGAAATAGCAAAAGTAAATTTCCTTTAAAACAAATGAATTCAATTCTATCACACTACTAAAAAAAAGGGCATCACCGACGGATTTTTCTGGCGGAAATTCCGTCGGAAATATTACCGACGGATT